GTCCTTTTCTTCAGGGCTGCTCTCAAGCCAGTCACTGCCCAGCCTATATCAGTGCTTGAGATTGCCCCGACTCAGATGGAGGACCTTGCACTTGGTCTTGTTGAACTTCATGAAGTTGGCATGGGCCCACCTCTCCGGCTGGTAAGGTCCCTCTGGATGGCATCCCTACATCCAGGGTGTCAGCCTCCACATACAGCTTGGTGTTGTCGGCAGACTTGCTGAGGGTCCAATCAATGCCACTGTCCATGTCGCTGATGAAGATGTTAAACAAGACTGATCCCAGTCTGATCACTGAGGAAGTCCACTTGTCACTGGCTTCCACTTGGACATGGACCCATTGACAGCCCACCTGGCTGTCGAGCCAGTTCTTTATCCACTGATAAATTGAGCAACAGAGGATTTCTATCATGCATATCTTCCTTTTATCCTAAAAATGACAAGAGACCTCTCAAGTAGAAGCATGGCTCATGTTGATGGCCATATAATAGAAAAATTATTTTGCAAAGCTGCCCTAAGTAGTACCTCTACCATTTAGTATATGTAGAACAGTGCATCGCAGAATGTTAGGGGTTGGAAGGGACCTCAAAAGGTCATCTATTCCAACCCCCTGGCCAGAGCAGGATCACCTAGAATAGGTCACACAGGAACGCATGCAGCTGGGTTTTGAATGTCTTCAGAGAAGATTCCACAACCTCTCTGGGCAGCGTGTTCCAGTGCTCTGTCACCCTCACAGTGAAAAAGCTTTTCCTAATGCTTTTGTGGAACCTCCTATGGTCCAGCTTGTACCTGTTGCCCCTTGTCCTTTCGTTGGACATCACTGAGAAGAACCTGGCTCCATCCTTCTGACACGGTTTATATATTTATAAACAATGAGATTACCCCTCAGTCTCCTCCATGCTGAGCTTCTTCAGCCTTTCCTCCTAAGGAAGATGTTCCACTCCCTTCATCATCTTTGTGGCTCTGCACTGGACTCTCTCAAGCAGTTCCCTGTCCTTCTTGAATTGAGGGGCCCAGAACTGGACACTGTATTTCAGATGTGGCCTCACCAGGGCAGAGGAGAGGAGGAGGAGAGCCTCTCTTGAACTACTAACCACACCCCTTCTAATACACCCCAGGATGCCATTGGTCTTCTTGGCCACAAAGGCACATTGCTGGCTCATGGTCATCCTGCTGTCCACCAGGACCCCAGGTCCTTTTCCCCTACACTGCTCTCCAACGGGTCAGTCCCCAGCCTGTACTTGGGTTTGTTCTTTCCCAGATGCAAGACTCCACACTTGCCCTTGTTTTATTTCATTAAATTTCTCCCTGTCCAACCCGCCAGCCTGTCTAGGTCTCACTGAATGGCAGCACAGCCTTCTGGTGTGTCAGCCACTCCTCCCAGTTTTGTGTCATCAGCAAACTTGCTGACAGTGCACTCTGTTCCTTCAGTCGGGTCGTTGATGAGTATATTGAATAGTACTGGTCCCAGTAGTAACTCCTGAGGGACTCCACTAGACACAGGCCTCCAACTAGACTCTGTCCCATTGATCACAACTCACTGACTTCGTTCCTTCAACGAGATTGCAGTCCACCTCACTAACCAATCATCCAGACTACTCTTCTTCAGTTAAGATGAGAGGATGCTGTGGGAGACAGTGTCAAATGCTTTACTGAAAGCCACATCCACTGCACAACCATCACCTATCCACCTGGTTATATCCTCATAAAAGGCTGTCAGGTTGGTCAAACATGACTTCCCCTTGGTAAAACCACGCTGACTGCCCAGAGACAGCACTGAGATTAAGATGTTCCATCCCCTTCCAGGGATGGAGGTGAGGCTGACCAGTCTGTAGCTACCCGAGTCCTCCATCTTGCCCTTTTTGAAGACTAGAGCGACATTTTCTTTCCTCCAGTCCTCAGACACCTCTTCTGTTGCCCACGACTTACCGAAGATGATGGAGAGTGGCCTAGCAATGACTTCTGCCAGCATCCCATCAGGACCCATGGATTTATGGGTGTTCTGGTAGCCTAACTAATCCCTAACCCAGTCCTCATCAACCAAGAGAAACTCCTCTTTTCTCCTGACTTCCTCTGGGCCCTCAGCGGTCTGGGGCTCCTGAGGACAGTCTCCAGCAGTATAGACAGAAGTAAAGAAGGCATTCAGTAACTCTGCTTTCTTTGTATCTGCTGTCACCAGGGCACCCACCTCATTCGCCAGAGCGCCTACATTGCCACTAGAGTTAGTTCTGTCAGCAATGTATTTGAAGAACCCCTTTCTGTTGTCCTTGACCTCCCTTTCAAGTTTTAATTCCAAGGAGGCCTTAGCTTTCCTAGTTGCCTCGCTACATTTTCTGACCACAGTCTTACATTCCTCCCAAGTGGCCAGCCCCTCCTTCCGTGATTTATAAACTCTTCTTCCACTTGAGTTTGCCCAGCAGTTCCCCTTTAACCATATCGGTTTCCTGGCCCTCTTTCTTGATTTCCTACCCACTGGGATATACTGAGTTTGTGTAATTGGAGTTCATGCAAGCATATACTATTGCTATTATTGGCTCATGGATTTTAATTTATATTCAAAGTTCTGTGTAGTACTAAAATCTCAGATGTAGCCATTCTATGAAGGACCTGTTTTTCTTCAAGTGGGTGTGTATATGAACATGCTAGGAAAAACAGGCTATGTTAAACACTGCTTATCACAGTTGCATGTGTTGTATTGGTACAGTACTTTTTGAGATGTTTTTCTTCACCCTGAATCATCACAGTCTTTGTCTAAAGATGACAAGAGAAGGTAGCTTTCATGAAGCAGTGTATGAATCAATTCTGGTTTCTGGAAATTTGTTTGCAGTTGGTCTATCAAGTTTGAGATTGATTGAACTTCGGGGCCTTTGCATGTGTGGTAGTTTTGCTGAAAAAAAATGTTTAGTATTTAATAGTCTTATATGTGTGTGTTTATTTTTTCACTTTTTAGGTGAGCTGAATTTTTGTCCTGATGCTGCTGATTCCATTCCAGGAGAAAGACAACCTACAGATGTAAACTGGATAAATAAAGATAGGAAGGACTCTAAAAGTAATCGGAATAGAAGTAATTTACCATTTTCTAGTCTGTCTTCTGAAAGAGGTACAGATTATGAAAGCTCTTCCACAAAACATCATGGTTTTTGTAATCCAGAAAGTCAGTATGGGAATTCTGAAGACTTCCACCAATATTTTGGTACCAGTAAAAGTGTGAAGAATCGTAACTTCCAAAGCCAGAGATGGCACAGATCGAGAAATGATAGCACAGGTACCAAAAGTAAGACAAAGCAAAGTACTGCCGATACTGCTGCAGATCCAGGAATTTCAGACACTGTAATAGTAACTGGAAGAAGAGCACCTCCTAGAGGATACAATGACTTTGTCTCCTCGGAGAGTGACAGGGAGATACCGAATGCAGATAGCAGAGGAGCAAAGCCAAAGAAAACTCATCCAATGCATATATCTGGAAGAGGTTTCAGGGAGAAAGGAAAGCACGTACATGACCGGGAAAAGAGACTGAGCTCAAAACAGAAAGTAGAACTCTTTGAAAATGCTCCATCTTTGGATTTGACTCATTCTGACTCTTCAGAATCATCTGTTGGAAAGGCTTTCTGTGATGCACCTGTTGGTAGTGGGGATGAGCAGAAAGGCTACAGTTATGTAAACAAAAGATATGTCCGGAAGCCTATGTGGAATAAACCCCCTGTAGATAAAGAGTGTCAGAAAAGACATGATTCTCACCATAGTAAAAATACAAAAGTAGGTAAGAAGTCTTCTCTTGCATATACTCCAAAAGATAAAAATGAGAGGAAGAGAGAACTCTGTGTTCGCAAAAGTGGTGAAAACTCGGCCAGTGAAGTCAGGCATCAGTTGTCTGATTCTGTCAGATGTAACGGAAGAAAGTTCCTGCTAAAGGGAGATCAGGCACCTGCACTTCATTTCAGTTGGACCCAGTACTGGAAAAAGCAAAGCGATGTACCAAAGAACAAAGAAACTCATACAGGTAAGCTTTCTATACCCCTCTATTAAAGGTATGATCTTGTATAATTTAAACTGCTTTCACATTTGACTAGCCGAAGAGGCTTACTGTTTTATATTAGATCAGTATCAGTTTCAGAGGTAGAATTAAAAGTAAATGTGTAGTTTCTGAGTGGGGAGGTATCCTGTAAGGTTACTAGGGAGGAACAAATTTTTTCTCAAGGTTTTTTTTGTTTTGCTACCAGACTATAAATGATAGCTTGGTTAGGCAGAGGGTTTAAACGTGTGCTGCAGTAGCAGGGAGTAAAATTCTGAGCATTCTAACAGTGGAACTTATTAGCGACAATCCTAAAACTGATTTTTACTGAACAAGTACTCTCATATTTTGTGTTGAAGTAGGAAAATCACAGAATCACAGAGTTGCCCAGATTGGAAAAGACCTTTAAGATCTTCAAGTCGAATTATTAACCTAACTCTGACAAGTCCTCGACAAAACCATATCGCTAAGCACTATGTCTACACAACTCTTAAATACCTCCAGGGATGGGCACTCCACCGCTGGCCTGGGCAACCTGTTCCAATGCATGATAACCCTTTCAGAAAACAAAGTCTTCATAGTATCCATTCTAAACTGCCCTTAGTGCAACATGAGGCCATTTCTTCTTTCTGTATCACTTGTTACTTGGGAAAAGAGAGCGATCTCCACCTCTCTACAACCTCTTTTAAGGTAGTTGTAGAGAGTGATAAGGCCTCCTCTAAGCCTTCTTTTCTGCAGACTAAAAATCCTCAGTTCTCTCAGCCCCTTCTCATATGACATGTGCTCTAGACTAGCTTTGTTGTTGTTCTTTGGACACGCTCTAGTACCTCAATGTCCTTATGGTAGTGAGGAGCCCAAAACTGAACACATTACTCAAGATGCGGCCTCACCAGTGCCAAGTACTGGAGGAAGATCACTTCCCTGGTCCTACTGGACACACTATTCCTGATACAGGTGGGGATGCCATTGGCCTTCTTGGCCACCTGGGCACACTGGTGGCTCATATTCAGTCGGCTATCCGTCAACCCCCCCGGTCCCTCTCTGCTGAGCATCTCTCCAGCCACTCCTCCCCAACCAAGCCTGTAGCTTTACTGGAGGTTGTTGTGGCCAAAAGTGCAGAACCTGGTATTTAGCCTTACTGAAACTCAAAAAACTGGTCTTGGCCCATCAATGAAGTCTGCCAAGATCTCTCTGCAGAGCCTCTCTGCCCTCAAGGAGATTGACAGTTCCAGCCCAGCTTGGTGTCATCCACAAACGTACTAATGGTGCACTTGATCACCTTGTCTGGATCATGGATAAAGATACTGAACAGAACTGGCCCTAATACTGAGCCACAAGGAACACCATGTGTGACCAGCCGCCAATTGGATTTAACTTCCTTTATCACCACTCTTTGGGCCCAGACGTACAGCCTTTTTTTTACCCAGCAAACTGTATACCCATACAAGCCAGGAGTAGCCGGCTTCTCTAGGAGAATGCTGTGGGAAACTGTGTCAAAGCCTTTACTGAAGTCCAGAAAGACAACATCTTCAGCCTTTCCCTCATCCACTGAGTGACCATGTTGTAGAAGATCAGGTTAGTAAAGGAGGACCTGCCTTTCATAAACCCATGCTGACTGAGCCTGATCATCTAATTATCCTGCATGTACTGCGTGATGGTACTCAGGATGATCTCCATCAGCATCCCTGGCATCAAAGTCAAACTGACAGGGCTGTGGTTTCCTGGATCCTCCTTCCAGCCCTTATTGTAGATGGCCATCACATTGACTAACTTCCAATTTGCTGAGACCTCCCAGGTCAGCCAGGACTGCTGAAAAATTATGGAAATTGGCTTGGTGAGCACCTCTGCCAGCTCTCTCAGAATTATTGGGTGGGTTCTATCTAGTCCCATAGACTTGTGTATGTCTGTGTGGAGCAGCAGGTCACTGATGATCTCTTCCTGAATTGTGGGGGGATCATTCTGCTCCCAGTCTCTGTTTTTTAACTCAGGGGGCTGGATTGCCAGAATACAACTGGTCCTATTACTAAAGACTGAAGCGAAGGCAGCATTAAAATCATCAGCCTTTTCATCATCCTTAGTCACCATGTTTCCTCCTGCATCTAATAGAGGATGGAGGCTCTCCCCGGTCTTTCTTTTGGTGATAATGTATTTATAGAAAGATTTCTCGTTGTCTTTTACAGCAGAAGTGAGATTAATTTCTAGCTATACTTGGGACTTTTTACTTTTATCCTTGCAATAATGCAAAATGATGTAAAATGCCAGATAGAGGAACTATATGCTGCTCCTAACTGGACTTTTTGCTCCGTTTTTTTTTTTGCAACAGTAGTATCCAAAGGTAATTAGAAATAGAGAAAGTCTCTGGATACTATTTTTGGAAGTTGAGAATAGAAATGTGTCACTGGCGGTATAAAGCAGATCCCCAGGTTTTGACTGCCTGAATGAGTTTTGTTCTAACTTATACCATTAGGGACTGAAAATGTTAAGTCACAGAATCACAGAATGTTAGGGGTTTGAAGGGACCTTGAAAGATCATCTAGTCCAACCCCCCGCCAGAGCAGGATCATGCCAAATCAAACTCAGCTGAATCTCTTCGGCACCGTGTTACTGATTTCTAGACAACCTGGGTAGCTTTTTCTTACTGTTTTACATAAGCTTAACTGTGCGCTGAGAAAATAGTTTCATGTTATTCATAGCACCCAGCAGAAGTCCTTTCGGAGACAGTAAAATTTTTTCCTTTTTTTTTTTTCTCTTTTTCTTCTTTTTGCCTTTCCAGTTGAACAAACACTAAGAATTATATGTAATTGGTTTTTAGAAAGCATCCTAACCTGATCTTCTGCTGCCCAGAATGACAGAGATGGGTAGATTAGTTCCTGTTATCTTAACTGGGATATTGAATCTTCTGAAAGTTTTGCTTCTCAGCAAAAGAATACCAGATAGCTCTAGTCAGGAACTGTATTCCATTAGGAGAAGCTTGAGGTTCAATAGCCTTCTTGATCCTTTCCAACTTAAATACATTAACTTTCATGCTTGTAGTTTCTACTTGAATCATAAATTTAAAGATAATACCTCAGTGTTTCTCGCAGTACTATATTAAATGAAATCATCATATGTTATAGGGAACTTAAGGAACTCCCCTGTCCCAAATGACTGTCTGTATTTGTATGCTTTAGTTGGGAACTATTTTGAAAATGTTATCTGCTACTGTTTTCAAGGGACTTGAATCTGTGCATTTTAACTATTTATGGGACAACTATCCTTTTTGAGTACAGTATAGCTGTAGTCTTCCTGAGAAAAGTAGTAAGTTTTAGGTGAGCATGCTTTCTTTGCAGTAGGTAATATTTATGGGGTATCAAAAGCAGAAACAACTGTTAATTTTGTATCTTGTGGTGCTTGATGCAGGAGGTCTGGAAAAGAAGCTTGAAAGTGCTTACAACCTATTAAGGAAGGCAAACAATGTTAACGCTTTCAAGTTTCTAGTCATCCACGGCCTTGCTTTCAGTTATGTGTGGTACAAGCACAGTTTGAATTGATAGTAATTTTTCTTTTTTTCTTTTTTTTTTGCCTTCGTTATGAGTTGCAACTTCCCTTGTTTTGGTACTGTCTAAAAATTGTATGTCTTTACACTTTATACTCAGAATTAAGATATTATAAAATTCCATAGGCATAAACAGCATTTCTAAAGTATATTTGGTAGCCTTACCTTGATGGGAGAGTTAATGTGACAGAACTGAAGTTACGTGGTGCTGTTGTTATGGTTTCACATCTGACTGTTTTCAGGCTGTTTGGTCTTTTATGTAGGATTCTTGCTTTGTTTTCAAAGTACTTTTTTGCATTCTTTCATATGGCTCAAAAGACCCTGGTACTTTGACTGGTCTTTCCCAGTAATTCCACTCCCAATGAAGTCAGTTTGAGGGGCTTATTTCCATAATCCAGGTACTTCACTGTTAGTGTTTGTTGTGTGGTCTTACAGGAATCCTTGAGGATGGGATGGAATTTAATTTTGGCTCAAACTTATGTAGTTAAGAGCTTTAAGCTTTTGAGTTTAAACCTCATGCAAAGGTTTGTTGAGTTTTTTGATGTGGAGTTTTTTGTGGGTTTTTTTTTTTTAAAATTTCCCATATAAAATGATGAGTAAAATCTCCAATTTCTGCTAAACTTAAAACTATTAACTAATTAACTAATCAAAATGATTGCAATTCATCAACAACAATTATTATAGGAATTGCATGCTCCCTCTGAAATTAGAGAAATGCATACCAAGGATCAAACTGGAATCTTCTAGGAGTAAGCTAATATCTTGCTTATAGCCACCCAGGAAGAGTAAATTCTAATTTAAGTGAAAACTTGGAATTACATTTGAATTTTATTTCTTGGTTGGCTGGTGTTTCATGCACAAGTAATGTATTTTATTTGCAGGATCATTGATTGAACAGCTGACCACAGAGAAGTACGAGTGCATGGTATGCTGTGAGGTGGTACGAATAGTAGCCCAGGTGTGGAGCTGTCAGAATTGTTACCATGTATTCCACCTGAATTGCATTAAGAAGTGGGCACGATCACCAGCCTCACAAGCTGAAGGTTAGTATTTGTTCTTGCACTCACTTTCTCTCTCAAATATACATAATAGCAATGTTCATGTGTTTCTTAGGTTGGCAAGCTATTTGTAAATATTGTCTAAGGTAACCAGAAAGCTGTAAACAAAGCAAGTTTTAAATAAAAACTTTTTTTTTTCTGAGTCCTTTGGATGCTTAGTATAATTCTCCTGACTGTTTTGATTCTTTCTAGTATTACAGCAAAAACTAATTTCCAGGCTTATATATATAAGATCACACATCAAGAAATGTCTCATCTTCTGTCATCTGTGCTTGGCCGAGCAGTCAGAGAGAAGCAGCACTTCAAACATTATTTGAGTATCTTTACTCAAATAATTCTTAGTTCTGTTCTCAGATTATATACTCCTGAAAGCCATCGCTGATGCCATGCAGTGAAATGAAATTCAGAGAAGACAGTAAGCTGCATTTGTCATGAGCTTAAACTGTTTCAGATTGCGTTGTATGACTTTTTGTAAATATTTATACATTCTATGCTTTGAATGCTTTGGTGTAAGTTAAGGCCTCTGCTGTATTCAGTTGTGTGATCTCTGAAGACTAGTGATAGTCTTGAAGTTGGATTATTTTTTTCTGTGCCCTGCTGGTTTAGCATTTGCCATTCTGCACGTGTCTTTCTGTGTCTCTCTGGGTATATATACTCTGTCAGCTACTTCCAGATGTTTGAGAGGAGTCCTTAGAGATTGTAAATCTCCTGCAGAAGGAATTGGTTGTAAAGTTCTTGGATTTCTTAAGATGCATAGATTGACTTTTGAGTGGGGTTGGTCATACTTCATACTGACAGTAGAAAGAAAGTTGCACATACCAGCACAGGATTGGAAACATGAAAGCATAAGCCAAACTCCTAGCTGTTGTCGTGTCACCTTCTTTGGAGCTGATTATCTCCCTGAAAAAGCTTTTTTCTTGATCAGAAGAGTATCTGCTTGTGTAAGGGAGGTTTTGCTTATCTGTCAGATAGTGACCTTAGGTGCTTGAATCCTGACAGCATTTCAAGTAGTCGTATCCTTTGGCCATTTGGTTTTCTTGTAAGAATTTGTGGACAATATTTTACCACATCCCATGTATGAGAGAACTTGACCTAATCATTGAAGTTAAAGGTGGTGGCCTCAGTAGAACTGATTCCATAGCTCTAGTAAAGACACTGATGCATATTTCTTGACCTGCAAAGCCCTGCTACCCTGTATTGATTAGGACTTATACTTCAGAGGGTATTTGATTTTTGGTAGGTTGTTTCAGTGTAGATTCAACTTTTCAGGCTTTGTGTAATGTGAGGAATTGGCAGCAATTATAGCCTACCAAAAGAGAAATAGGACACTGTAATCTACCTAACTCTATAATATGTTGGTTTTCTAGAAGAGGAAAAAAAAACTTGTTTTTTTCTGCACGTGATTTACTTCAAATCTGCTTGATTGTGTAAATGTTATAATGAATTCCAGGAAATCTAATCTCAGCACGTGAACTTTTCACTGCTACGTTTGATTTCCAGACTAGTGAGAACATTTTGTTTTTAAGATCAGTTTTGAGTGTTCATTCTTTTATGTTTATGAAGTAACAGAATGTTTCAATGAGAATGTTCCTCCAGTGTTCTTTATAGCAGCTCTTATTTCTATGATATATAGTAGGCTGAAAGTATGTATGTGTACATAATTTCTCACATTTTTTTGTCAGCACAGCATTATATCAGAGAAATCCTAAATGCTTGCAGGAAGTAGGTAACATCCTTGGTTGGCTATCTTCTCACATAGTTCAGTCTTCCAGATCGTTATTAATGGGCATCTGCTACGAGGGGAAAAGCAGGTGTGGATCCATCAGGTGCACCACTGAGCAGTTGAAGCTTTGGCGTTAGTGCAAGTGTAGCATTACCATGATGGGAGCTCTGGGACACCAGTGTTAATAAAATGGAGAACCCATGTGATGGAACCGTGCTAGGGAGTGAAGCTCAAAGAAATGCACTGCAGAGTTGGTTAATAAAACTTGCACTGATACATATGCATACATATGCAATGTCCTGTTTTGTTCATTATTAACCTTGCTCATGAAATGCAGATGCTGTTGTCTGAAATCTGAGATCCACAGCTGATCGTCACATTGGCACCCATGCAAAGATTGATGTAGTTGAGGTGGGGAACTGAACTATCCTGAGTTACCATGTCAGTGAGAGAAAACACGCTTGAGAGTCTACATCTCAAGTGGGAAAAGGTTAATCCTTGGTTACTGTTAACAAAGTCATCTTGCGCTCTACAGTATGTCTTTTATCAGGAACTCCTTCAGATGTATTTTATTGAAGGTGTCTTCTCTCAGAGAATTCTTTGCCTTCTATTATCTTGACAGTCATATGAAAAATTACTTTTAGTTTGGCCAGGCCAGGTGAGAGAATCTCCTGATTATATGTGGGGAGTCATAGGGCATTGCTCCGACTTTGGTTCCACTGCTTCTTCACTCCGGAGGAGGACTCTTCACTCTTCCCCGGGGTCATTGTGAGGTCCCTCTCACGGGAGACAAGCTTCACGCTCTCTTCTCTGGCGTGAGTCGTCCCATGAGGGGCAATTCATCACAAACTGCCCAACGTGAGACACCTCACAAGGGGCAACCCACCCCTCGTGAGTCTGAGGTGCAGTCCTTCAGGGAAACTGCTCCAGTGTGAGTCCCCCGCAGCATCTCAAAAGTCCCACCAGCCAACCTGCTCCAGCGTGGGCATTCACTCTTCCATGGGCTGCAGGTTCCAGCGGCGACCTTCTCCAATGTGGGCTTCCCACGGGCTGCAGCCCCCTTCAGGCATCCACCCACATGGTATGGAGTCCTTACACAGTGGACATCTACACGGTGGTCCTCGCAGTGGACATCTACACCCTGCCCATGAACAACCCGCTTCACCATGGTCTGCACCATGACCTGGGGGACTCTCTGCTCTGCCTCCTAGAGCACATCCTCCCCCCTCTCCTTCTTCACTGACCTTGGTGTCTTCACAAATTCTCACTCATCCATCTCTCTGCCAGCTGTAGTAGTGCAGTTCTTTTCACCTCTTCTTAAATATGTTTTCACAGAGGTGTTCCTCTCCTATCACTTTCCTGATAGACTCAGCCTTGGTGCAGCAGTGGGTCCCTCTTTGGAGCCAGCTGGCATTGGCTCTAACAAACTCGGGAAGCTTCTAGCAGTTTCTTGCAGAAGCCACCCTGCAGTTCCCGCCCCGCTGCCGCCGAAGTCCGGCCAGGCCAACCCAATACAAGAATATAACTTCATCCTTAGCAAGCATTTTTACTAAAATTTTGAATTATGTCTTGGAGGAATGTGATTTTTAGGTATTGCACAACTAAGGTCAATCTGACAAAAATACTTGCATTGCACACAAGATCTTTTATTTTGTTATGTTTATAAATAGGAGATTGTTCCTACTTCTGCTTCTTTTTAAAAATGATGCTTCGATTGTGTGTGACTTGTGTCCTTACATGGAAGAGAAGTTGGAGCCTCTAAGATGGTTTCTGAGTTTCAGTGGTCAGAATATGAATCTACTTGCCTTTTTATTTTTTTCTTCCTTTTTTTTTTATTTTAACCATGCTATTCTGTGTCTGAAGCTGTTCTGTGTGCCTTAGATATTACAAAGATATTGTCACTTTTTTGTTACTGGGACAAAAGCTTTTGATTATGCCTAGCTGAGAAGTCAAAATAGTAATTTATTCTGATGTGGATTATCTCACCAGAGAACTGCATAAAACATTTTAGAAATGGTAACACAGAACTGCCGATGTTACTACTAGTATATTCTACTACAGTTGAAGTGACTGAAATCTTCTGTTTGGATTTCTTTTTATATACCTAACATTGTATATATATTGAAAATACCTGCTGTACTGCTGCCTTTGGAAATGTAGCCTTTTAGAATTCATTCTTTATTACAGCAGCTATATTTGGATGTTTCTTATGTAGTCACCTATGACTCATCTAGACAAGCATGTAAAGAGAGAGGCAAGGTTTTTGTTTGAAATTGTATATAAAGATCCCTCATCTGTTTATATAATTCCTGCCTCTGCCTACTCAAGGTTCTTCTGAGCCACTTAATCCTTTAGGATTCTGGAAACTAAGGAGAACGTTCACTGAGGCTTTATGACAACAGATATGCAACAGGATGGAGTAGAATTCTGGGCATTCTACCACAGGTAAAGATTTTTGTGGCTGATAGTGCTACAAGTAGGGATGCTTGCAATATAAATATATATGGAAAAAATTTTGGTAAATAATTACAAGTAAGGAATCTTTTTATCCCAGAAGGAGGGAGAGACTAGCAAATACTAAAACAGTCTCTAGTAAATGGTGTGAGATGTGTTGATTTTGCTTAGACAAGTGTCCTTTTAGCATCTCTGGTTGGAGTTCTGCTTACTTCACTCTTATTCATGAAAGATTCATGGGAGTGGAATGTTCATTCCATAGTGTCATCCTCATTCTCACTTTCTAAAGTAATCAGGCTTTGTAAGAAGTGGCTACAGGTCCTCTCTTTACAAATGTGGATGTCAAGAGTCATCTTTCTGTCATTCTATTCTACTGTAACTGTATCTGAATCTAGAAAGAAACCTTTTATTTCTTGTGTTTTTTGAAGAAAGCAACCATGCATTTTTTTTATGGGTGGACCCACATGAATCTAGTTATGTCTTAGAACATAGTTATCTTTTGTTCAAAGGATAATCAGTGATTAAGAAGAGCAAAATATGTTTTGAAAGGCTGTTTTGCTTGGTAAAGGTTCCTATTTTACAAGCACATTCACTCTAAGTTAACTGTTGCTTGTAGAGGACTAGGCATCCTGCTCTGGGAGAGATGTTGATAGAAGAGGCCTTCTGCTGGCCTCCTGAAGTTTTAATAGTAGGCTCACCTTCACAGCTTTATGGAATAACAATGGAATAAATTATGTTATTAATGTAATACTTAAGTATACTGTACAAAGTAATCCTATAAGGAATCCCTTAGGTGCTGACAGCTTCAGCAGCAGATACCCCTTTCAGTTCCTTACTGCCAGTTTTTGTAGCGATGCTTCTTTCTGAGATGCTTCAGTTTATAGTTGTCAAATAATAAAAAAAACCCTCAGTCAGGAGATGCAGCTTGATCTTGAGCGTGAATACGAGTGTACTCTGTGCTGCTGTCATACAGCTGCTCAGCTTGTAACTGAACAATTCTCTGCAGAATTATTGGTAGCACAGTGATATGAGCCAGGATAAAAAGGGGTATGAAATATTGAAAAGAATAAATGTGCTAAAGCACATTTGGATTTCAAGAGTGTCAAGGCAGTCTATAATGTGAATAATTTCCAGTTTGTGAAAATCATTACTATTGTACGTTATGATGGTTAGTATAAGAAGTCTCCAATTCAATCGATAGTGAACCTAGGTGTGCCTTTCATTGCAGTACAGTTGTCTTGTCACACATAGGGTTTCCTGCTTGCAATCCCTCCTGCATTCATAATGTGAAGATATCATAAATATTGGTCAGATTTCTTAATTATAAAGAACAATTCTAAAGTTACAGCTTTATCAGTTTACTTGCACTGACTTGATTGATTTAGAGAGGTAGTTTATATACGTTTATTTTTATCTCTCTCTCTAAAAATGTCTCTACTCCCTGTCCACTTTGTGTTCAATAGTGCTCTTCTGACATTGGTATTCTTCATAACCAAGTATGTACTGAATTTGTAAAAAGTTTTCATGAATGTCACTTTACAGTGAAGTTCTTCGTTTACTGCTGACACCCTCCTGAAGCGCAGAAGCAAGAAAAATATTTAATAAAGTATCAACTTGAAGAGTAATGTCCTTCTCAATAGCTAGATATTGTCACCTTTGAATTTATTAGATTATTCTGTTTTATATAGCACTAATTTATTCTGGACATGAAGCAATACTAATTTGGTCTTCTGTAAGACAAGGAAACTCATAACATGAGAGAATAATGAAAAGAAAAAAAGGTGATGCTTGAGACTGTAGGTAATATTTTTCTCACCATTTTCCCTGCAGTTTAACTTTTTTTTTTCTTAACCCTTTAGATATGGTGAAGACTGTCTGTATTCTAGTAGAGCATCGTATCACAGGGTACATGATAATACCTCTGTATAAGGTTGGAGCCTAGTCAAATGAAGTACCATGGCTGTGTTTATTGTGATGCTGTGTAAAATACATTTTTATTAACCTGCTTTCTAGCCACTTTTGATCAAATGGAAAAACTTAGTATGGTTGCGGCTGTGGTAAGAAACAAGAAGAGACCACTTATTCTACGTCTGATCTAGTCGAGAGGTGGCGTCCCTGGTGACAGGGAGGCTGGATTAAAATGATCTCTAAGGTCCCTTCCAGCCTAGGCCATTCTATGATTTGCAAGTTAGATTAATTTTTATTTTTATTTTTTTTTATTTTTTTATCTACAGATGGTAATAGTGGTTGGAGATGTCCAGCTTGTCAGAATGCTTCTACACAAGTTCCTAAAACTTACACTTGTTTCTGTGGTGAGTTTCTTGCTTGTTGTGCAAAGAACAACAATTTAGTAATTTTGACTCTTTTTTTAAAAAAATTTGAATTTCTGTATTGCTGCTTGTTTGCCTACATCCTTGAAGTTTAACCTTGTTTAAAACTTTATTGAATTTGGAAGGTGGCTGCACAGAGAATCACACATGTGTTGCTTAAAACATTTTAAAAGTGAAATATTAAATAATAAGTAATGAATATTTTCCTATCAGTATGAAAAAATTGTGAGTTTTATAGAATAATAATAGAATTGGGCTACTATAAGCGTTCACTTTGCAGAAGGACTGAAGTAAACCTGGTTTTTTTAGGTATTTATTTGTGTTAAGATGCACCAAAATAATCACACAGTCACAGAATGTTAGAGGTTGGAAAGGACCTCTGGACGTCATCAGGTCCAACCCCCCTGCCAGAGCAGGACCACAGAATCTAGGGCAGGGCACACAAACGCATCCAGATGGGTCTTGAAAGTCTTCAGAGAAGGAGACTCCACAAACTCTTTGGGGAGCCTGTTCCAGTGCTCTGTCAGCCTCACAGTAAAGTTCTTCCTCATGTTGAGGTGGAACTTCCTGTACTCTAGTTGAATCCATTGACCTTTATCTTATCACAGGGTGCAAGTGAAGAGAGTTTGTCCTTTCCTTCTTGATGCCCAGTCCTCATATCTTTATACACATTAATAGGATCCCCTCTCAGTCTTCTCCTCTCCAGACTAAAAAGCCCCAGGTGTCTCAGCCTTCCTCATAAGGCAGATGTTCCAATCCCTTAATCATCCTCGTAGCCCTCTGTTGGACTCTCTCAAGTAAATCCCTCCTCTTGAATTGAGGAGCCTAGAACTGGATGCAGCACTCTAGGTGATGTCTCACTAGGGCAGAGTAGAGGAGGAGGAGAACCTCCTTAGACCTGCTGGACACACTCTTCTTAATGCACCCCAGGATTCCATTGGCCTTCTTGGCCACAAGGGCACACCGCTGTCCCATAACATAACTTGCCCACCAGGACTCCAAGGTCCTTCTCCATGGGGCTGCTCTCTAGCAGATAGCATCCTAACCCATGCTGGTGCACTTTATTATTCCTTCCCAGGTGCAAGACTCTGCACTCACTCTTGTTGAATACAATGTAATAAACACTTCAAGCATACAACTATCTAAACCTTTAACGGGATTTAGCAGTTTTGTCATTTAGGTTAATCGGGAACACATACTGGTTAAATAGGAAGTAATATTCATATTTTTCAGACTTTTATGCAGAGATCTGTTTAATGAAAGGGGTAAATGAAGTGAGCACAACATTCACTAAGCCATAAATATGTGACAAAAAGAGATAGGTTAATTATGTTACTTATTACATACATGCTAATAACTTTTGTTTGGGATTTTGTTGTGTTTTGAGCTGGCTGCCTGGCTGTCCCCAAGGCTGCTTGCTCACTACTTCCCCATGGGGGATGGGGAGGAGAACCAGGAAGGAGCAGTAAGTAAAACCTCATGGGTTCAGATAAGAACAGTTTAATAGTGCAATGCAAAGAGAGGAGAAATAACAGTAGTAACAATAATACCAACTAAATAACATAACACGTGAGTGATATACAACATGAACTTCTTGCCGCCTGGAACTTGACAGTGAGGCAGCAGCACCTTTGTCCCAAGGTCAAGACCTCCCCTCCCCTGGCCAGCTCCCCCTATGACATCAGGATGGTATCAAATATCCTCTTGGCTACTTTGGTTCAGCCATCTGGGCTGTACCTCTTCCCAGCTTCTTGTGAAAATTAGCCTCATCCTAGCCAGATTTGTGTTGTTTTCGTGTAGTTTTCTCTTAAGTCAGAGTCACTGGAGTTCACCTTGCTTTCTACAAAACAGTTCACTTTGCTTTCTACAAAACAGAATATTCTGAAATCGAGAAAGGAGCTGGGAGTCAGTAAACTTGTCCTAAAGAAACTAGACTTATGCTGTAATAGGTAACAACTTTATCGAAAGTCCTCTTTATCAAATGTGTTAGTGTGTCAGTTAAGCGCAGTGCAGTGCAGGTAAGACAGACTTTTTGTATGTCAATGTGTGATAGTGTGTGAATGTGTGATAGGGATAGTAATTCAGTTAGAATTCAGTTTTTATTCCAAAGGAAAGTTACGCTTTTAAGGCAGGTTGTCCATCTGTTCAATAGGAAAGAAATTCTGCCTAGTCTTTAAGACTGCTTCATAGTTTTGGGAGATGTACAGTAGAAACCTCAAGCTGCCCTCAGGGTTATATTAGCAGAGGACCATGAGGTAATGTAAGACTTTAATCTTCTATAGATAATTTTACATTGACATCATTGGACATCACCAGTTGCTTATGCAAAAATATCTTTTATTACTGTGATTAAGTGTGAGATTTTTTCACCATTCCATGAGGAAATTCCTGGGTTACTTCCCTTCTGAATCTTTTAATTTCCAGCTTAATTGAAACTCAGATGAATAAATGCCATCTATGATGTTTATTTGTATTTTCCTAACTTGCTACTTGTAGAATATATAGAGATGCAGTGAAAGAGTTAAAATAGTATGTCACAGAAAGTACATTTTACTGGTATTTTTAATTGCTGCTACTCAAATTTATAACATTGCCTAAGTTGCTTCATTGTTAATTTAATTCCCTTCTTGCTCAGAGCCAGAGTAGGTTTGCATGTGTTAACAATAGCCATTAACTTCAACCCTGATGATCATCTTGTGCACTAGAACTATGAGATTTACTAACAGTATGTCAGATTAATTAAAATATGGTTTCAGTGCTTATCTGAAATACAGAATACTTGAAGCAAAGAAACTGTATTTATCACTTCTTGTTCAAGACTACCTGCTACATTCATCAAAATGTCAAACTTTAATATTTAGATTTATGTACTCTGATTCTTTTTAGACAAGTGACATGTAATTTGCACAATCATTTCAGTCTGCCCATTTGCCATCACCTTACTGTCAGCTAGATCTTATTTTCTGGGAATGATGTCTTGTTTGCTTATTTGGGTTTGTTTGTTGTTTTTGTTTGTTTGTTTGTTTGTTTTTCTTCTGCATTGAGACAGCAAGGTAGTTTCACCATTTGATTTTCCTACCTACTATGCAGCCTGACTAACTAGAAGGGGCTTCTTTTCTTGTATTTTATCAGTTTTATTTAATGTAAATACCAGCTACTTAAGTGCCTGCTGTGCATATGGATGGAAAGAATCTTCTGGAGGTTGATATTCCAATGACACTTAGTTTTCAAGAAGTTGACTACAAATTGCCACTGAAAGCAGAGATAAAACACGTGTTTTTTCTTTAGTTTTTTTTTTTCAAAGAAGACTACTACTGATATTGAAAGTATAGCTTTTTCTTTTTGATGTGATATTTTTCCAAAATTCGATATTGCATTCAAGGCAATAAATATGCTTTTGTCTTTGATATGGTTTAGGTAAGGTGCACAATCCTGAATGGAATATAAATGAAATCCCACATAGCTGTGGGGAACTTTGTGGAAAGAAGAGACAGTGTTTGGACTGTCCACATCTTTGCAACATGTAAGTAAATGTTTGTCATGAATATTGAAAAGATATAGAAAAAATTTTGAAAGCTGTATTTGTATATTTTTGAATATAGGATATACTTAGAGGTGTATTTTGTTCATAGGTTAGCTGAAGCTTGGAATAAACGGAGGCTGTTTGTATTGATGTGTCTAAAGTGAGTTCATATGAAAGAATGAACATGAGGTTGACGATAGTTGTAGCAATGTTTCCATCATGTTTTAGGAACTGAACCAGCAGCGTAACTTAGATTCAAGAACTTTCGTTGAAGTAGAGGAATAATAGTGACTAGAAGTAATTTTACGTATATATACACTGGTCCACCAGATGTTTTAGGTGCTGCTTTTCTCTAACAGTGTTTGTATAGTTTAATTGAAGAGAAGTGGTACTTGGTTAAACTGGAGAACTGCTACACTGCGTTATATGTATTTATTTGTTTGCTAAGACCACAAGTAAGACTCCATGAAGGATTCTGTGTAACTCAAATTGGTTTTGCTACTTTTATTAGTATAATTCCATGGAGAGGCAAAAAAGAGCAATTCTGTTTTCAGTTTTGGATGTTTTCCTTTAGATCTCTTTTTAGAGGTTTGGTAGTATTCCATTGATAAGGCTAACAGCATTAGGCAAGTTTTTTCAGTGTATAAATATGCTTGCTAGTCAGAAAAATGAATTATATATTATACCTAATGTATGTACCTTCATTTTCCACATATGGAAGTTGGTACGTATTGCCTGTTCGTATTTCTATTTTGAGAAATTTCTGATAGTCAGAAGCAATTGTTTCTGCTCTTGGTACACAATTGGAAATTTCACTCATTCCAAGAAATAGATTGCCATCTTACACTTTTTCCAAGGTTTACTAAAACTTGGAACTTTCCTAGAACTTTACTCAGAACTTTTTATTTAATGCGTTCTGATTGAAACCTGTCTCAAAATCTTGTTGAACGAAAGAATATTTCCTTACTCTTTAAAACTTCTTTCCCCCACATGAACGTATTCTATTAGATTTCTTTTCAGACTGTCATTTCAGTGCTGTAGCTCTTTTTTTAATTCATCATCATACTAGATTCTCTTCACGTGGGTTTACAGTGTAGCACTGAAACACCTATCAACTTTGAGACTACCGTTACTGTAGCTGATAACCTGACTCAGCAGAACACTGATTCTCTTGGAGGCCAGCTGCTGGCCTCCATCTTAGGAGAGACATATGTCCACAGAAAACTTTTACCTAATCAGAAATAAGTAGACTCTTTAACTACTTCTAGAACTGCAGTTTACTACCTGACAAACTTTCCTATAGTGCTTGGAAGAAACAGCTGTTCTTTCCTCTTCTTTCCTGTACCGGCCCACAGCAGAGGCCTAGTCTCTGGCATTGTCTTCTAGGAGTCTTCTGAACAGCGGTGACAGTGGCAAGCTATGAATTTGTATTCCTTGGTAGTCTGATCTGCATCAAGAGCTGTGAGAGTTGGGACTTTTAAAAGTCCCAGTTTGCCACCAGATTAAGTTGTAACAAATTTAGAAGTTTTATTGTTCAACTCATTCTGCATGAGTAAAACCATGCTGAGATCATCCAGTCCTGGAGGTAAGGGAAAATCAAGAGTCCAGGTCAAGATAATGAATGTTTTTGACACTCTCTAACTTGCAATAGTGATCTGGAGAGGAATGCACTTCCAGCATCAGCGTTACCCAGTTTTGGACATTCCTCAGTACTTATTAGACACTTTTTCTGCCCATGTAGGAATCTTACGTGAGGACACACTGCCTTCATCTGCTATTAAAAAGCAAGTAGAAACCCGATTCCTTCTTGCTGTATCAGGAAGTGGTGGAGTTAGGCATGTGGAGCTTTATCATCTGAATGCATCTTTGTCAGCTACTCCCCACCGGACAACCTCAACCGATCTGCAAGACCAGATCATGATTTGTGTATAGGTAGAGTTTTTCCTCAAGAAAGTATGCAAAGGTGGAATTGTTATCAGGGCTAGGTTCTTGCTTCAGTTTATATGAGCTCAGAATGCCTTCTTGCAAGCACTTGTTTCTTTACATTGTGGATTTGTTGTGTGCCTTTTTCCCCTGTTCCTGCAAGCTCCCATAAGGTGATAAAGTTTGAACCAGAAATGCAATTCTGTTCACTGAGATCCTAAAAACTTTTTTATTTTCCCTTTTCTTCCCCCTGCCTTTAGTCAAATGTTTCATGTCATTGTCAAGACCTTCTACCTTGCAGTGCGAGATGGCTATGAATTCTTTAGGGTAAACAATGCTCTTGTCATGGGGGAGTGTCAGAAGGACGGAGCCAGGCTCTTCTCAGTGGTGTCCAATGACAGGACAAAGGGCAATGGATACAAGCCAGAACATCGGAGGTTCCACAAAAAAATTAGAAAAATCTTATTCGCCCTGAGGGTGACAGAGCCCTGGCACAGGCTACCCAGAGAGGTTGTGGAGTCTCCTCTGGAGACATTCAAAATCCACCTGGACGTGTTCCTGTGTGACCTACTCTAGGTGACCCTGCTCTGACAGGGAGGCTGGACTAGATGATCTTTTGAAGTCCCTTCCAACCCCTGACATTCTGTGATTCTGTAATTCTCAAATCTGTGTGAATTTAGTGTCTAGAGTTAGGACTGGGCTGGCCACTAAACTGAGACAAGGACACTTTAGTTAATGGTGGAGATGAGTCAATTGTTATGAGCAGTGGACTGAGTCTGGTGTGGTGTCTGAGACTTAGTGTGTCATTCTTGATGTTGGCCTTTCTGCAGTATTCAATCCCATCTATTCTGGGAAACTTGTTGCACTTGAAGTATGTGGGACTTGTTTAAAGTCCAACTTCATCCATTGTCTTCCAGTTGAGCATACCTCTCTATCTGCAGTCCATGAGCCTCTGACGAGCTAATCTGGATGAATCCTGTTATGAACCCTGTTCATTGGTGAAACTTCAATCTTAGTCTTGGGGAACCTACTTTTTGAATCATAAGATTCTTACTTAGTTTCTTATCTGTCTTTGTGGCTATTGCATCAGCAGTTGGGGTAGGGGAGATTCAGATGTTTATAGCTATCTCGTCTTTAGAGAAGAATAATTTTTGCTATAGTACATGCTAGACTTGTACAAATGATTGTGGAATGAGGAGCTCAGAGCAGTGTGACTAGTGATGTAATATTTTGGTGGTGCCAGTTGTGCTATTCCAAGTGCTGCTTAGGCAGTTACTTTATTCTTAATGTAATATGAAGTAGCAAGTTTGAAGTACAGCAAAGTGGATGAAGTTACTTGAGATTCTGTTTTTCCTTTAAAACTGACTAAGCATCAGACTCGCGACTGAGAAGAAAGATTTGTGTTAAAAATAATGGGAAAAGGTTTGGGTCATTTCATACTTTGTGATTAGTTTTATCAAGCAAACATTTTCCCCCCCCCAGTGTTGAGTGAGTAGGAAATGAGGAAATGGCAAATTCTGAATGCATCAAGTGCATTCTATGAGGCAGGGCATCTCCTTGCAAAAAAAAAATGATGCAGATTAATAAGATTAGAAGAAAACAGATCCTGAATATGGCTAATAAGAATGTCTAAGTGTTATCAGCATCACGTAGGCACTTTTGGAAAGGATATTAAAGCTCATACCCTGGTTAAAGGAGATTAAGATAACAGCCAGGTTCAGGGAAGAAGTATGGTGGTGGTGGGGGGGTCATAGTTTTCTACTTTGCAGCGTTAGACTGTAATTTTGAGGCCTTTGTCTCTAAAGTGATGTAATGAGGTATGCACCCTACCTATCTTTTGTCTGAATCAGAGCTGTTGCCTTAGGTTTTGTAACCCTGATGGTCATGGCTTTCAAATTATTTGGCATCTCTTTTACACTTGTAAGAAATCTGGAAATGGTCTTCAAATTTTAAAAATGAGGTCGCTGAGATATAACAATTCTTCAGCCTACTGTTGCCAGTAACTAGCTTACATCTGTGTGTTGATCCCTTTTATATCACCAGAACAAATTATTTTCTACAGAACTGGTAATTCATTTGTTCATTTGTGTTTTGGGTTTTGGAGATTGGCTTCTTTTTTTCCCCTAGCCTTTTTGTTAATGTAGATATTGTTGTGCTAATCTTTCCATGGGGTAAGATTTACATGGTTGCTTGTGTTAAGTGAGGCACTAGCTAGCCTATTTTGGTGAAAATACATGAGGGCAGTTTACTCTGTTTTAGTAATAAATCTTAATACTTGCTCATATTTATTGAAAGCAGCTGTTTGAAAGAAGAGTTCTCTGCAAATCTTTTGTTAGTGTGAGCTGTGGTGTGTGTAGCACTTCACAAAGTGAGTTCCCTTTCAGATTAAATACACTGAAATTCATTTCGATCTGCTAGGTTCTACATCAAAGAAACATCCATCTTTCAGGATAATGTTCCTGATAATAAACTTCATGACGAACATATTTTAAGACTCGAAGGGCCAACTGGAACTATGCAAAGCCTTGAAAGCATTTGAAAAATATCTTACAAAGGCAGTAAATGAAGCATTCTCTCTACTAGTTTGATTTTTAGTGTCTGACTTTCTTCATAGATCTTTGGTACTGTAATCTTTTCTGCAGCAGTTACTGGAAGTCCATTTGGATTATATTAGAATATCTAGTATTTTCACTGATAGGCAAAAGGAAGTTGAATTTCTATGTCTAGATCACAACTTTTCTCATATACCAGTTCTTTAGAGCAGCAGCAGTAAATTGTGAAATACATCCTACATGATAATGATAGATTATGGAATTTTAATAAAAATAAGACTGCATTCACTGAACAGAAGTCGATACTGGAGTCTTCAGCGTGTCTTTTTGAGTTTAGTTTGTAACACTGTTAAGTCATTTAACTTTTTGCCTGCTTCTTTGATACAAACTAAAATTCTGTGGTATCGCCCACCTTTATCATCTAAGGAGAATTTTCTGCTTTTTTATGTATGTGCTTGTGTGCTGAATGAAATTTGAATTTCAGTCCTAACTGTTATTATATGGATCAAGTAAATCCTGAACCTGTAGGTATAATGTAATTCTGCATAAACCAAATTGCACCAGAGACTTTTGCTAAATGAGTGCCATGCGAGTGTCTGTATCTGGAGGGATGCATAAAGAGTACTTATTTTTAAAGTAAGGTTTGCTTTCAAAGGGTTAGATTTTTCAGTACTAGAATCTTAATGTTAACAAAGTGATACAAACTCATTTATAGCTGTCTCAGAAACACCTTATCAAAATGTGCAGATGCCTGGAAATTAATTGCGTGATACTGTCTAACAGAAGGTGTCTTGCTGGGAGAGTGCAGAATTCTATTATAGGTATTTAAGAGTTAAAATATCTGTGATCAGTGCTGTTGCGTAGTATAATATCATCAGAAACTGTACCAAGACTGGGCTCATGGAAGCAATGTTAACATTATTTGAATATGACTGTATTAGGGAAAATAATTTCCTAGGTAGAAAAAAACATGACAAGATTTCTGAGAATGTCATGTTTTCTACGTTTTAATTAATTTATCAGTTTTGCTTTCTTCATGTTTCCCTCTGTATTGTGTTTTCTCTGCTCCATCTAGTTTTACTCTTACTTTTTCCTCATACTTGTGCTTGTTTAACCCTTCATTGTGCCTTAAAACTGACCTATCAAAGAGGGAGGGTTGTGGTTTCTTTGGTAGTTTGTTTCTGGTGGTGTGGGTTTTTGTGTTGAATTGGTTTATTATGCAATGGTTTGGCTTCACTTTTAGAGCGGCACAAGTTGGGTGATAGATTAGGCTTCGTTGTCCACTGGGAGGAGTAGTTGAGGAAGAGGGGATCGAGACCACTGTTGCTAAACTGCTGACACGACTCAGTTTTACTGCATATGACTATAGTAACTGGTGTGCTGATCAATACTTGCATAGTGACTGTACTTAGGGAATTTAGTAATTAACATGTAATTGGGTAGTCTGTGTATTATGAGAGTTTTTGGTATGTTTTTTTGTTGGTTGGTTGTGGGTTTTTTCCTTTTTGCTAGGACATTTGGTGTCGTCACTCCTGGCTGATAATTATTGCTCCACATAAGGGTTTCTGTATTTGCAAAGGAAGGGAACTTGGCAGCTGGCTAAGGCAGAGCGCATACAAGTTATTTAAATATAATTTCACAAAACTGGGGTTGTCTGTGCCCAACAGGAGTCTTACATACAGACAGGGACCATCTAGTGTTTCCCGAAGTAGGAGGTGAGATCTGATAATTGAGTAAAGGATTGGCATGGATGACACTCACAGGAAATTCCACTTTATGGCAGGAGAGAAAACTGAGGGAGACTTGCTACATCTCCATTACCTTGCTGGAAGAGGAGCAACAGCTCTCACTGGTGGTGTTAGAAACTCTGAGTTCAAAGATAAAGCTATCAAGTCAAAAGAATAAATTCACAGAGAAGTTTTTGTAAACTACTTAAGATCACTGAAGAAAGAAATGTGCTAACAGTTTGGACATATGATAACTGTTTTGAGGCTTATCAATGATGAACACAGCTGAGTTGATGCATGTCTGCTGGTGAAATGCAAAATGAGAAATATGTTAGTAGCACTGTTACTTGTTGATTTGACAGCAGCAGAAGTACCAGAGTTTTCCTTCAACGTCAGTGGCATTTGAGACTGATCTGACTGTAATAATCTAATATTGTTTTATTGTATTAATAATGCTTTCATGCCCTACAGGAGTATAGGTGGCTTGTATAATGTTCTGATAATGCACTATGAATTGGTTCCTGGTGAATTGTTTCAGTGGGAGTATAGTAAAACTAAAGTTAACTTCCTGACTTATTTTTAAGCCTGTGCCATCCAGGACCTTGCCCTTCATGCCCAGCCTTTGTGACAAAAACATGTGAATGTGGACAAACAAGGTGAGAATGCTTCTATTATACAAACAAAAGTCTAAAAAAGAAAAGTTCATTAGAAGCTTATGTATCATTTTTTTTCTTTCCTGTAGTTTATTAAAAGTTTACACAACAAAGTTTATTCTGAGCTGCAACTTTTTATTTGTACACTAAGATAATTTGGAGAATTTTCTATTTTAAAAAAATGCAATTGCATTTAACCTTTTAAGAAAAAAAATAATTCAAAAAAGTCTGTGTTAAAATCACTTTATGGTACATGTAACTGAGTTGTCCAAGCAGCCTGTGAGTTGATTTGATTTTGAAACCCTGTTCTAGTATTTTTTGTTTTAATTTGTAGAAGACACAGAGGAAGAAATAGAAAAAACAATCACACATTTTCTGCCTGAAAAGAATGTAATGTTGAGTTACTCCATTCCAGAAATAATAATGTCAAAAATAACGTGTACATTTCTGGGAAGCTGTACTGCTAGCAAGAGAGAAGCGTGTGGTATAGTCCAGATGTACAGTTGCAAGAAAAAGTATGTGAAACTTTTTGGAATTTCATTGTATTCTGCATTAATTTGTCATAAAATGTGATCATCCAAGTCAAAAGTATTGACAATGTACCTAAAATAAGAACACAAAAACAATTCCGATCCTCCATGTCTTTATTGAATGCACTCGTTCAACATTCAGAATGCTAGGGGAAAAAGTAAATGAACCCTTGGAATCAATAACTGATTGACCCCACCTTGACAGCAATAACCTCAACCAGACACGTCCTATAACTGTGGATCAGTCCTGCCACATCGTTCAGGAGGGATTTTAGCCCATTCTTCCTGGCAGAACTGCTTTAGCTCTGCCATATTCTTTGGACGTTTTGTGTATGGCTCTCTTCTCATTCCACAGCATCTCTGTTGGGTTGAGGTCTGAGCTCTGACTTGGCCACTTGAAAAGTCGGATTTTGTTTTTCTGAAGCCATTCTGTTGTGGACTTGCTCTGGTGTTTTGAGTCAATGTCCTGTTGTATCACCCAGTGTCTACAGAGTATCAGCTGATGTACAGACATTCTCACATTATCCTGAAGAATTTTTTGATACACTTGAGAATTCATCTTCTCCTCAATGACTGCAAGCTGGCCAGGTCCTGATGCAGCAAAGCAGGCCCAGATCATGTTTCCTCCACCATACTTGACGGTTGAGATGATGTTTTCATGATGATATGCAGTGCTCTTTTTATGTCAGATGTAGTGCTGCGTGTTCTTTCTAAATAGTTCAGTCTTTGTCTCATCAGTCTACAAAACATTTTGCCAATACCACTGTGGAGTGTCATTGTGCTCTTTTGCAAACTTCAGGCAGGCAGCAATGTTCTTTGTAATAAGCAGTGGCTTCCTTTATGGTGTCCTGCCATAGATGATGGGGGGAGTAGCATCCCGTGAGCCGTGAAGGAGAATTGATAGGAGAAGAAACATCCTGCGAGAAGCAATGTCTCAGGATCATTAGGTGGCAGTTAGTCAGAGGCCTGTGGTACACAAGATAGGGGGAGTTGTCTACCACCAGCTGTAAAAGAACAAAGGGTGACAGGATGGAGGCTGTGTAGTACTCGTTGTAAAAGAACATAAAACAAAAATAATTGAAAAGAACACTGCTGATAAAGGTATCTAACAAGGACCATCTAGCCCCTTGTGAAATTCGAGGACAAGATACCTTACGAACTGTGCTGAGAACAACTAGTTTTGGGACTAAGGTAAAAAGTTCATTGTGAGGAAGACCTTCATCCCTGAAGACCCCTGCCCAAGACCATCAGGAGGCACTGCACAAGTGTCAAGAGGAGGAGCAGCCAACCACCGGAACTGAGTGCCTTTTTCGGGATAGCTCATGAATATGTATAGGTGTCTAATGAATATGTAACTTTCACTGCATATAACCAAGGTAACTGCATCGTTCAGGTGTGCACGTCTTTGGAGGAGAGAGACGTCGTGCACCAGCGCGCTTATTAAAACTTGTCCACTTTATAACCTCCCGGATTACGGAGTCTTTTCTGCGTGTCATAGACACCCTGCTTGTTCAAAGTTTTACATACTGTACACTCATGAACACAGATGTTAGCCCATTCCAATGATGCCTTCAACCCTTTCGCTGTCACTCGGAGTTGTGTCTTTACCCCATTGATGAGTGTCTGTTTTGCTCTTGGGGTCATTTTGGCAGAGTAGCCACAGTCCCAAAGTGTCTACGTTTGTAGATCGTTTGCCCAACTGTGGAGTAGTGAATTTGTAAGGTCTTTGAAATCACTTTGTAACCGTTTCCAGCTTTATGTAAATCAACAATTCTTGATTGTCGATCCTCTGAAAGTTCTTTTTGGTGAGGCATAGCTCACATAAGCTTACATCTTCAAACTCAGAAAGTTTGAGTGGTTTTTATCAGTCAACATAGCTCTAGTCCACACCTCCAAACTCATTTTCTTAACAAAATTCCAGGTATGCTAACAGCGGACTCTGATTAGCTTTCTTGAGGTCAACTCAAGGGTTCACTTACTTTTATCACTAGCATTTTGAATGTTGAATGAGTGTGTTCAATAAAGACATGGAGCATCAGAATTGTTTCTGTGTTATTTTAGGCACGTTGTATTTATCAACACTCTTGACTTAGATGACTGTTAGATCACATTTCATGACAAATGAATGCAGGAATTTCAAAAGGTTCACATACTTTTTCTTGCAACTGTATATAGTGCCATTGCCAACAGCACGACTGTGCTGCCAGTACTATCTGTGATCTCTGATATTCAGTTGTTCTGATTCTTTAGCACCCCTGTTTTAGCTACTTGAAAATGTTTGCCTCTGCTTGTTTCCAGAACCAAAACAAGCAACTAATTTCAGTGTTAGCATTTGTGCTCTAAAAAAAAGGTTTTCAGACTTGTACAATTATTTCTGAAAGTTTAAATATAATATTAGGTGAAAAGTTTTCCAGAGAAGGTACAGCTCTTTTTTTTGTTACTTTTTTCCTAACTATTCCATATATTTGAAGTTTAATAGTTGCCACCAACTTTGATTTATTATTTTTCTCCCCAGGTGCCCACTACTTTAGCCAGATTGCTGTTTTTTCTAATACTGCATTTCGTACTTAACGCTTGCTGCTAAACAGCATTTTTTCCTATGTACTGTGGTATGCCATCCAAGATGTGGTATGGCACCTTTGACTTCAAGATGTTTTAGTAAACGAAGAGAATTTATTATTTTATCTTTTTTGTTTGTTTGTTTGTTTTTTCACTTAATTAAAAAACCCAACTCTTTTTGTAGACTACTAACTCACTAGGAAGGCCCACATGCCTATCTACATTGAGCTCAGTGGATTTGGGATTATTTAAGTCTTTGGGAAGACTTCCATAATAGAAGTATCAGCTCTTCTGGCACGATATCTAACCATACATTAGGTTCAAATTATAATGTCACCTTTTTTTTTAAATTTTATTGAGAGAAAATTCTCTAGACTTACTACTGTGATAAATGTCCTACTTTAATGGAGTGGAAAAGAGACAGCAGGAGAAAAATAAGGGGTTATTTCCTAAAAACTCTTTCATTGATAAGTTGTCCTCCCTTTAAAAGTCTTTGACACTTTACTGAAAAATATTTTCATTTTTAATAAATGCTTTATAGATAATAAGGTAGCTGACAGACTATGATGTTATTTTTCTACAGTCATTCAGTTCGCTGTGGCCAGTCAACAAAAATTCATTGTTCTAATGTATGTGGAAATACTTTGAACTGTGGTAAGCACAGCTGTACGCAAGTGTGCCATGCAGGAAAATGTTCACCTTGCCAATTAACAGTACAGCAAGGTAAGTATTGGAGTGCCTTATGTATATCTATGGAAACAGAGTATGAAGAAAACAGTACCAAGAGGCAAGTGCTTTATATTTTCTTAAGAAAACCAAAATCTGTTTCTAGAATATTTAAAAAATGGAAAATACATCGCCATCACTATATATTTAAATAAATATAAAAAGTGTGACTAGAAAGAATCCTCACAAGGTGATTAGGCTATTGGAGCTTGTGCCCTGTTAGGACAGTCTGATAGTACTGGATTTTGTTACCTTGAGGCCTTCCGATGGCTAATAGGAGGTAGTGAGGGAAACAGATACAGGCTGTGTGCATTGTTGGGAGGATGAGAGACATTAAGCCAAAGTTGAAATGCTCTAACTAATAATAAGGAAAACCTTTCTTGGAAACTTGGAGGTTTTCAAGACCCAACTGAACAAAGCACTGAGTAATGTGGTCTGACCTCATTCCTGACTCTGCTAAGTAAGGACTTGGACTAGCTGATCCTCAGAGGGCCCTTCTGATCTAAGTTTGTCTTATGGTCTTACTTAATCCTGTACTACAATTCTGAGACTTGTTTAAACAGTACATGGAAGGAGAGTAGAAAGAGGTATAGGAAAGCACGTTTCAACAAGCCGCTTGTGTTTTCTGTTAAAATTTTCTAAACTTGATCTTCAGTAGAAGTTAAATTGTCCAAATATGTGTGCAAGTATCCAAATACATTTTTGTTGAACAGTTTACATAGAAAATTGCAAGTTCATTTTTTAGCTTCTAAGATGATAATTAAATTATGTATACTGGTTTAATAAGTAAGCTTTTTGTGGAGATAGTACTTCCCCTTTAGTTTTTATCTCCTCATCAAAACAGATAAAAGAGCAATTCCAGCTTCTGCAGAACTGAGAAACCTCTATTGCTGAAATAAATGTAAAGAGCAGCAGCCTCATTGTACTTCTAATAAACTGACTGTAATAATTTTTTACATTTTACCTTTTTTATTTGCTCTACTGGTGAAAGTGTTTTGTCACTGATTTTCTTGTGTTGTTTTCTGTGGAATATTGTTTTCTTTCAGTGTGTTACTGTGGAAGCAACTTTAAAGAAGTTTTGTGTGGAACGAAGGAAGAATTCTCTGATGGATTTGGAAATTTTTCATGTCAGAATTTATGTGGCAAGTAAGGTCGCTCTATAGTTTAGGCTTTTGGAAAGAAAAAGGTCATTTTATTCATACTGAGTAATCATGATACTCTTAGATAGTTCCTTTTTGGTTTGCTTTTTGTTTCTTTGGGGTTTTTGTTGTTTTTTTTTTTTTCCAGAAAGTTAAATTGTGGGAGGCACAACTGTACGCAAGTATGCCATCCTCAGCCTTGCCAGCTCTGTCCACGACTTCCACAAGTAGTGTATCGCTGTCCCTGTGGTCAGACTCCTCTCAGCAAGTTACTGGAATTAGGATGTGTTGAACGGAAAGTATGCACAGACCCTATCCCGTCATGTGGAAAAACCTGTGGCAAACCTCTTTCTTGTAGTAGCTATGGTAATCAGAACTTTCTGCAGAATATTCAATTTATCTCATAGTTTGGGGAAAAAAATATGTCATCCTTAACTGCTTCATTTCAAGAAATAAATATTTGATTTGTGATTTTGGGTTTTAAACTGAGCGTAAAAGCCACTGCAGAGCTTGCAGTCTGACTTTGTTCATCATGATACCTTAAAATAAAGAAATATATTTAGAAAGCACTAACACGAGCTAGCCTTTTAATTTTGTTTACATACACCTTTCCTATACTGGTAGAGGAACAGAGCTGTAGGAATTTTCAGAGAGTAGTATGCACTGATGTCTTTTTAAAGCCCACAGAGATCTTTGACTTCATGTGGATACTGGTAGAGATAAATGACTTTGTTCAGATGCCTCCAGTAAATACTTAATTCCTG